GAGGGGTCTTCCATCTGCTGATTCATGTCTCAGCTGGTCACAATGGCTGCAGCTGAGCTGATCTGCAACCAGAAATCAGGAGCTTCTTCCGGGACTTGCACGTGGCCGCAGGGGCCCAAAGACTTGAGCCATCCTCTGCTGCTTTCCCAGGTGCCTTAGCAGGGAGCTGGATTGGAAGTGGAGCAGCTGGGACTTGAACTTGCACCCATGTTGAATGCCAGTGTCAGACGTAGAGACAACCTACTATGTCAGGGCACCGACTCCTCCAACTTGCAGTTTCATTCCAATTTTAGTATATGTGCTGCTGAGGTAAGCACCAACTTTCAGGACCAAGGCAATCTCTGACACGTCCTGAGTACAGGCTGTGATCGGATGTGGAAAAGGCTCATCCAGTGTCCGGGGAAATGAACGGGACGTCAAAGCCCGAGTCTCAGTAGAGATGTGAATGTATTAGTGCTGTCCTCTAGCCAGCGTGAACAGACTCTGGCAGAGACTCACGCTGCGTTTTCCTGATATCATGACGATGTGTTGCCCTGGCTCTTTGCAATGACATAAGCTCCTGAACAGGACCGGCCTTCTCCAGGACGCCCCCTGGAGGCAATCAATGGGTAGCCCCTGGAGAGATTCTGGAGGAGCCTGGATCCTCCAATGAGGACCATGGCTGGGGGGTTTCTGCACCAAAGGTGGAGCTGGCAAGAGATCTTTTAGTGTTGGGATTCTGTGAGCCCTTATCTGTGGACCTACACTCACTGCTTCCTTGTGCCTGGCCGTCTGCCCATCTGCTCATGAGGACTTTTCCAGGAAGGTGCCACCTCCACTGTGCAGCCGCGGGCTCAGAGAGAGCATGCATTTTTGTCTTTTTTTTTTTTTTTTATTGCAAAGTCAGATATATGCAGAGAGGAGGAGAGACAGAGAGGAAGATCTTCTGTCTGATGATTCATTCCCCAAGTGACCGCAATGGCTGGTACTGCGCCGATCTGAAACCAGGAGCCTCTTTCAGGTCTGCCACATGGGCACAGGGTCCCAAGGCTTTGGGCCATCCTTGACTGCCTTCCCAGGCCACAAGCAGGGAGCTGAATGGGAAGTGGAGCTGCCGGGACTAGAACCGGCACCCATATGGGATCCCGTCCATTCAAGGCGAGGACTTAGCCGCGAGGCCACGGTGCTAGACCCAGAGAACATGTGTTTTGTTTGGGGGGCATATGCTGAGGTAGGCTGATGAACATGCTCCCTAGGGCACTAAAGCCTGGGGATGCCCATGATGCCATACTTCCCTTGATTTTGGAGATTACTGCAGTTTTAGAGAAGAGGGAAAGCACAGAGGAAGTTGAGAAATGGAGGAAGCCAAGGCTTCTAAAGTCAGGCACTGTGGAGCTGGAACCGTGGGATGGCAGGCAAAGCTGCCACCTGTAGCGCTGGCATCCCACATGGGCACTGCTTCATGTCCTGGCTGCTCCACTTGTGATCCAGCTCCCTGCTTATGTGCCTGAAAAAGCAGCAGAGGATGGTCCAAGTGCTTGGGCCCCTGTTCCGATGTGTGAAACCCAGATGGCGTTATTGAACTCACTCTGTTTGTTGTAGCCATTTGGAGAGTGTTGATGGGAGGGAGGGAGAGACAGGGAGAGAGAAAGAGAGAGAGGGAGAGAGAGACAGACAGACAGATAGGCACTCCATCTGGTGGTTTATTCCCCAAATGACCGCAACAGCCAGTGCTGGGCCAGGCCAAATCCAGGAGCCGGGAGCTGTTCTGAATCACTCACATTGCTACCAGATATCTCAGCCATCCTCTGCTACCCTCCTAGGCCATTGGTATGGAGCTGGATTGGAAGTGGATCATCCAGATCATGTACCAGTGCCCATATGGGATGCTGATGGCACCTCAGGTGGTGACCTTGTGAGCTACGCCACAATGCTGGACCCAATCGATGTAAGATTACTGAGGTATTAAATAAATTGCTTAGGGGGTAAGTCTCAAAGATCTGGTCCCCAATCTTCAGTTCTAGCATCTCGGGTGGACTGGCTGCAATCCGAGTGTTTGGGAACATAGCTGTTGTGGGAAGCGACCGCCCTGGCTGGCAGCACAGGTGGGTTCGGATTCACTCTGGGGGTTGCCTGCCCCTTGACCAGCCAGCGGCAAGCAGGATGGCCACGGGTGTCCCTTTTCCTACTTTTTTCTTTGACATTGGTTCATTAAAAAGTTTTTTTTTTTTAAAAGATACATTTATTTTTTGTGGAAACAATGGTTTTATCCACTTTCCTGTAACCCTTGGTCCTTTGTTCCCTAACCAACTATGTAAAGTTTATCAAAATGAAAAATTTATTTATTTTATTGGAAAGTCAGATATAGAGAGAGGAGGATAGACAGAGAGGAAGATCTTGTGCCTGCTGATTCCCCAAGTGGAGAGAAAGGCCGAAGCTGAGCTGATCCGAAGCCAGGAGCCAGGAACCTTGTCCAGCTCTCCCATGTGGGTACAGGGTCCCAAAGCCCGGGCCATCCTCAACTGCTTTCCCAGGCCACAGCAGGGAGCTGGATTGGACGGGGGCAACCGGGACATGAGCCAATGCCCAATGGTATTCTGGTGCATGCAAGGCGAGGACTTCAGCCACTTGGCTATGGTGCTGGGCCCTAAAAAGGTTCTTAAAAATTATTTTCATTTTCTTTAAAAGCCAGAGAGTCAGAGATCTCTCATATACTGGTTCACTCTGTGAACGTCCGTAACAGCCATGGCTGGGATAGGCCAGAGCCAGCAGCAGGGAACTCCACCTAGGTCTTCCATGTGGGTGGCAGGGATCCAAGGACTTGGGCCATCCTCTGCTGCTTTCCTAGGGTGTGCACAGTTGAGAAGCAGCAGGCAGAAGCAGGGCTGGGAGCTGAACCCAGGCACTTGGCTAGGGGACAGAGGGTGTCTGAGCAACATCTTCGCAGCTACAGCAAGCGCTGGCCAAGAAGCTGGCATTTCTCTATGAGTCTGAAGACACATTCCCAGCTCCTCCAGATCAGAAGAGTGGAGTCTACTGCAGGTGCTGCGGAGTCCAGCTCTGCGGTGACTTCCAGCTCCCCTGCCTGAGCCACCAGCTGCTGACTGGGTCCTTTCTGTGAGTCACTTCCCCGGCCTGTGCCTTCCTGGAATTCCCTTGGTTTTCCTGTGAGACAGCTCACATACAGCATGGCTTTCTTCTCTCTAGGCTGGTTCAATGCTGATGCCTCTTTTGGGTCCCTCACAGCTAACGTAGACACTGGTGCATGTGTTTGATTTTCCCAATCTTTATGTTCTTTTAAGAAAACAATTTCACATGTACAAGATAGATGTATAAATAGTACTCCGGTGAACCTCATCGGACTGACTCATTGGCTGTAAATAATCAAGCATGCCCAGTAGCACTGTGGGGCCGTGCACGGCTTAAAGAAACAACATGGGAGGTTGCTTGCGCTACTTCAGAAACATGTGTCACTGGGCCTGGGAATGCTGGGGTGGGCAGAGCAGGAGGAAAGATGAGACACTGCCCCCACCCCCAAGGTGTAGGCTGAACCTAGACACACACATGGGCAGAGGCAAGAGCTGCTGGAAGCTCTAGATATTCCTGGTGAGAATTCCAGGGAGGGCTGGAGGGCTGCCTGGAGGAGGGGCGTGAGAAGCAGGTGTGGGAGCTTGAAGCAACGCTTCCTGGGGAGGAAGGCGGGAAGGCCAAGTTGGGGGTGGGGTGGGAGGGGGGAGGATGGAGAATGAAACCTGTGCTGCTGTCCCGACACGTGAGGACCCACGTGTCCGTGGCCCTGAGCGAGCAGCCACGTGGCTTGGCAGGAGCTGAGGGGCTGGATTCCCAATTCCGTCCCCCATCCTTCTCTTTGGCACTAGGGGGCCACCCTTCTGGGAGCCCAGATGTGTGGATCCCAGACTCTTCCCTCTGCACCAGCCCCTCTGCACCCTTCCCCTATAAATCACCAGTGATTTCATTAAATGCACCTCCTGCTGGGGATGCTGGCTCGTAATTCCTCTCTGATTAACCCCCACTACCCCGGTGAGTTTATAGGCCAAGAGAGGGAGGGGGTGAGGGGGAGGGCAAAAGGAGGGATGGGAGGAATCCCAGGCAAGTGATGGATGTCTCTGTCAGCCTAGCTCGTATTTATTAATAGTCTTAATACGGGAAGCAATAAAGGAAGAGAGGGATTCTATTAATTAAATCATTGTTATAATTAACTTTCATTAAAGGAGGATCAATAAAGAGAGGTTGAGATGAAGAGAGGAGAGATCCATTATCTCTAATTTCCTTGGAAGGGATTCAGCGAAGGAGCCCAGGTTGCTAGGAGACGGAGAACGTGAGGGAAGGAGGAAGGATGGAAGATGTCACCCCAGGTGCACGGGCGCTGGGGAGGGCTCAGGTGGATGGAGAGTGGGGGTGGCTGCAGAGGCCCACCCAGGAGCCCTGATGGCAATGGAGGGGTGGGCAGCTGATAAAGCGGACTTCCTGGCATAGAGAATGGAGGTGCTGCAGGAATGGGCCTGCTGAGCATCTCGGGAAACATGCGGGTCCTTAATAAATGCATTACGATGCGATATGTGTGTGTGTGTGAGCTGCTTGGAGCGGATGGAGGCGACTGTGCGGCTGTGGAGGCAGGGTGTGCACACGCGTATGTGAGAAGGTGACGGGGAAGTGGGGGAGGCTCCGAGGGCATCTTCCCTGGCACAGCAGGGCTCCATCTTCCGGCCCATGGTATAGGAGCGTGACTGGGGAGCCAGCCCCCTCTGTAGCACATGCCCACCCTGGTGCAGCTGTTGCAGATCTGCTCTGCAGTGTGTCCCATGGACCTCCTGCCTTTAACCAAGTTCTGTTCTCTGCACACCAGGCAGCATAATGGGACACCTGCTCAGCCCCTACCCTGCCCTCCCCAGGGTGGAAGAGCCAGAGGCCTGACCACTCCCTCTTCCTCACCCCTCCCTCTACCCCCCCATCTGCTCTAGTGCCAACCTAGTGAAGAAGACATCTTAGGACAACAATGATCCATATCATATAAATATATTTGTCCAAACTACTCATCAGAGGAAGGCATAGGGGGAATGGGAAGCTCTTATTGCTGTGGGGGGCCACGGGGGAAGGGCTGGGACATCTGGGGCCACTTGCTCCCCCGTCCCTCACAGAAGGCACAAATACGGTATTTCTTTCCATGTGAGGATCCTGGGGAGGGGAGGGACAGGACAGAGTGGCAAGGAGGGATGGAGACAGACACAGAAACCCTCCAAAATACAAAAAGAACTTCCAAACTGAATACCAAAGGCTACAGCAAAGTCTGGGCTGGGGCGTAGAAGGCCATGGGGGGACAGAAAGAACAACGCCCTGAAACTGGGAACTGGAACAAAACCTGCAGAGGTTGCCACGTCTGTGCCCCTGCCTCTCTGCGGGGCCCATGAAAACTCAGGTAAACAAACTCCAAATAAGTAAGCAGCGAGGGTGGGGTGCCCCTGGAACTGGCTTTGGGGCACCGAGGAGGGGAGTGGGAGTGTGAGTGGTGGAACATGTGGCTGTGTGAGTATCAGAAGCAGTTCGGGCTAAAAGGGACTGGTGCTGTCCGCCACCCCCTGAACCGGGGAAGGAAGGCCTCCTCCATCCTGGGCCTGCTAAAACCACTTCTGGGGCCAGTGCAGCTGTTCTTCCAAGAAAGAGTCCCTGCCCGGGAGAGAGCAGGCAGGTAGGAGAGGAGGATGAAAGCAGGGCCCCCAGGAGCGGGTCTTAGGGAACAGAACATCATGGGGCCCGGGGTGATGGAGACCTGAGTGTGCATGCGTGTGTGTGTGTGTGTGTGTATGTGTGTGTGTGTGTGTGAGAGAGAGAGAGAGAGAGTACATTTGGGTACCAGGGGAGGTGCTGCCATCACTCGAAGGTGAAGGGGTCCTGGGTGCTGAAAAAGAAGTGTCCGTCCATGTGGTCCTCCAGGGCATCCTTGTCGCTCTCGGCAGGGAAGCGCTCCTTGCAGATGGGACACTCCTTCCAGGGGGGTGTGGCGGTGCCCCCGGCGCTAGCCTCGGTTAGGGAACTCACTGAGAAGCCACTGTAGAGAGACAAGGTGCAGAGGGGAGCTGCTCAGAGTGGATTCCAGCTGCTACCTTCTCGTGGGCCTCAGCGCCCTGCTCCCGGTGCAGCAGCTGGGGCTGGCCCTTCCAGCAGCCCCTGTCTCCCCACGGGACAGGGGAACGGGTGCGCGTAGCTGTCTGGGTGCCCACGGCCATGCTTCTTCCATCTCTGCAGTGCCGGCCCAGCCCCCAGCCTCCTGCTCTCCTCCCTCCATCTCCGTCTGCTGCCTAATGAGGCTGAAAACGAGCCTGACATCGTCCTTCATCTTGCTGCGGCCACGCACAGGGTGACAGCAGCCACCCGCCCCGCCTGCAGCCCAGCCCATCTCCCACCCTGGCAGAGCTGGGGGCTGGGTGGGAAGACCTTGCTTCCACAGGCCCTGGCCTTCCAATCCATGGCAGACAAGGAAAGGCAGAGTCTGAGGCCTGAATCCCCCAGCCCTGTAGGCTCCCCTCCCTCAGGGAGCCACCATGGGAACTGGTGGTGGCTTCTTGGGCCCGGCTACAGGGACATGGGACCCCAATCTCCTCTCTGTCCCCAGTCCTGCGGGGGCCATGGTCACCTCCCTTCCTCCCCTGAGAAGCCTTGGTACCTACCTGGTGGTTGGGGAGGGGGAAGGGGCAGGAGAGAGGGGATGCAGGGCAATTTGGGCTCCGCGGAAGATGGTGCTAGAACAACATAGGAGCGAGTTCAAGGCCGGGCCTCTGAGTGAACGGAGTAGGTAGGGGTGGACTGAGCCGAGGCCCTGGCACTGGGAGAGGTGTGTCACCTTCTCTGTCCACCCCTCCCATATCCAGGAGGCAACTGCAGGCAGAGCCCAGTGGCTGGGCCCTCCACCGCCCCTTTCCGCTGCCTCGCCCTCTCACCTGGCCATGTCGTAGAAAGCACTGCCCAGTTCAGGAAGCAGCAGGTTGGCCTCTTCGCCCCCACTCTGCACAGCTGCCATCAGGACTGACTTCTCATCTTCAGCCTCCTGGGGATCAAAGACACAGGCTAGAGGTCATGTGGGAGGCAGGGGCGTGTCCCAAGGTGGGGGAGCAGCACCCTGGGATGGAGAGGGCCGAGCTGCTAAGGCTGGGCCTGTGAAGAGAGGCAGGGGCAGTGTTTTACTGGTGCTGCTAACTGGGTTTGGGGGGCTGTGTCCACCATTGGCTCTTAAGAGAGGTCTGGACGGACTTCTCCCCAGGAGACTTCCTGCTTGGGGGTGTGTGGAGGGCCACAGAACTGGGGTGCTGGTGCTTGGACCCCACCCCCTCCTGGCTTACCGAATCCGAGCTACTGTCCTCAGCAGGTGCTGAGAGGTGGGGAGTAATGGGGGCCGGCTGGCTGATGACAACCAGGGGCGATGCTTCTCGCGGCCCGGCAGAAGTGCCTGAGTCTCCGCGCTCGCACAGGCGGTAGGCCGGGAGGCGCATGTCTTCTGGTGACTCGTCTTCTTCGGAGTCTGTCAGTGCAGTTGGGCAGCCTGGCAGAGAGGAAGCAGGTGGGCAGGAGAGAGGAGGCGGAGTGAGAGGGCTGCCTGCTTGGGGTGGGGGGTGGAAGGGAGGGACAGTTAAATTCACAGGGGTCAAGGCTAGGGGCAGGAAAAGGCCCAACACAGTTGGGAGTTGTCCTTGACGGGTGGGGGGCCGGTGGGGACAAGGGAGACTAGGGGAGCCTAGGGGGAGGAGACTAAGGGAGCCTAGGGGAAGAGGGGCCGTAAGACTGGGGTGTACGGACTCAGCCCCGCAGTGGCCTCCTCATCCTCAGTAGCCGCATCTTCGCTCCACTTCTCATCAGCCACCTTCTCCAGGCGGGCCTCCAGCTTCCTCATGTACTCCAACAGCTCCTGGGATGGTGGAGGGGAGAGGTTGGGCCTAGGGAGCCTTGTCTTTGCTTCTGAGGATCCGGTGCCTCCCTTCCCTGAAGGCAGGGCCGCCCTGGCTGCGGGAATGCTTCCTTCTGCGAGCGACCCTTTCCAGTCCGCAGGGTCAGCACTGTGGGCAGCCTCTGGACCCTCCCAGCCAGCCCGTTTCCAAGCCAGGAGATGACAAAAAGATGCGAGACATCTGGGCCTCACCTGCTTCTCCTCCTGCAGCTGCTCCTTCTCCTTCTGCAGCACACGCAGGGCTGAGCGCAGCTCTGTCAGCTCCCGCTTGCTCTCTGACAGCTGCACCTGAGGGAAGGCCACCCGGAACCCAGAGCTGAAAAGGCCATTCTGAGAATCCGGGTTCTGGAACACGGAACAGCAGGCCCAGGTCTCTGCTCCTCACCCCAGGGAAACCCCAATAGGAACCTTGGGCCTGGTGTGCATGTGGGATAGCACCTCCGAGCAGTATGCAGAGGCCTTGGCCATGCCAAGGGGCTGCGCTCCCCCTATGTCACCCTGACCAGGTCCCCCAGACACACATCCTGAGAGTGTAACGGGACCTGGTGCATTTCCCACCAGCAGGGCTGGGAGGTGTGCACTGAGATGCTGTCCCCCTGTCCCCAGAGCTCAGCACTGAGTTCCTCTGAGTCCATTCCCAAGACAGAAAGAAGAGGGGGGCGCTGAGTCTCGGGGTGGGGTGGGGTTGGCAGCTGCTGCCTCACCAGGCTGGAATCTTTCTCCCGGGCCAGTTCTGTCTTGCACACTTGGTTCTGGGCCCTCTCCTCCTGCAGCGCCTTCTCCAGGCGAAGGACCTCTGCGCTCAGCTTCAGGATCTTGTCCTTCTCAGCCTGGGGTGGGGGAGAGAGGGCGGCAGTTAAGGAGAATGGGAGGGTCAGGGTGAAGGAGAAAGGCTGCCATGGTGGGTAACAGTGCCACCCCACCCTGTGTCCCCTGCTACATTTAACTGAATTACTTTACAAGCAACTTTCCTGTCTGCCTTCCTCACTTGTCAGACCCCATGAAGGAAGGATGGGGCATAACAGTGTGGGTGATGTGGGTCAGGATCTGGGCTGGGTGCCTAGGGTATAAATGTCTTTTCCACCAAGGATGGTAACCCTGGAGGGTATCATGGTGAATGTGAGTCAGACCCCCTGATTAGGGAAGGGGCATGCCTTCCTCAAAGCCCCTTTCCAGGGCCCAGAATTGTGGTCCAGTGTGTGAAGCCACTGCTTCCACCACAATCACTGGCATCCCATACTGGAGTGCTGGTTCTAGTCCCAGCTGCTCTGCTTCCAACCTAGCTCCCTGCTAACAAGCTTGGGAAAGCAGAGGAGGGTCTCTGCTGTCCACACGGGAGATGAGCATGCAGTTTGGTTCCGGCTCTTGGTCTCAGTCTGGCCATCTGGGGAATAAGCCAGAAGATGGAAAGATTCCTGTCTCGCCTTCTCTGTGTCATTTTGCCTTTCAAGTAAGTACATAATTATTTAAAAACAAAAATGAAACAAAACAGAGCAAACAATTCCTCTCTAACCCAGTATCCTCTAAGGCTCCTGACCCCTGCTCCCAGAGGGCCTGACCAGATACAAGAGCTCCTCCCTGGGCCTGGCACAGTAGCCTAGCAGCTAAAGTCCTTGCCTTGCAGGTGCTGGGATCCCATATGGATGCTGGTTCTAATCCTGGCAGCCCCACTTCCCACCCAGCTCCCTTCTTGTAGCCCAGGAAAGCAGTTGAGGATGGCCCAGAGCCTTGGGACTCTGCACCTGCGTGGGAGACCCAAGGGAAACTCAAGGCTCCTGGCTTCTGATCGGCATAGCTCTGGTCATTGTGGCTGTTTGGGGAGTGATTCAATGGTCGGAAGATCTTCCTCTGTCTCTCTTCATCTCTGTATATCTGACTTTCCAATTAAAAAACAAACAAAAAAAAAGAGCCCTTTCCTGTAGGAGTGGGGTGGTGGCCCTGGGGACTGCTGGACACCCCCTGTGCCTCTACCTCCACACTCTGCAGCAGCCCTGCCCGCTCCGTGCTCCACTGGCACTTCTCCTCCTTCAGGTGCAGGCTGAGCTCGGCCAGTCGCCCATTGACTTCAGCAGCCTCCAGGCGGCTGCGGTGCAGCTCAGCGATGGTGCGGTCCCGGGCTCCCGCCGCGCTGGCCAGCTCCTCCCCGAGAAGTGCAGCCTTCTGCTGACTCGAGGCTGCCAGCTCCTGGGCCCCTCGAAGCTGCTCTTTCAGAGGCTCCAGCTCAGCCTTGGGACAAAGTAGGAGACAGAGATCAGAGGTGTCGGAATCACTTGTGAGCCCTGGGGGACCTTGGGGCTGCCCCCTACCCATCCTGTATCAGGACCCAGGGCTGTGTGTGCCCAGTGCCCAGGCCCCAGCCACCCACACATTTCTATGTACACCTAGCCTGAGGACAGCCACTTCGTAGGACCTTTACTTACCACGCGCTGCTGGGCCTGGCTGAGGGCATCCTTCATCTGGGCCACCTTGTCCTTCAGGCGCTGCACCTGTGCACCCAGCTCCTCCTGCCGGCCCTTGGCTTCCTGCAGCTCCAAGCCGAGGCGCCGGCTCTCCTCTTGTGTCATTTGGAGCTCAGCCTGGTAAAAGCAGAAAGTGGATAAAGAAGAGGGGTACGGACTGTCTGCTGAAATGGTCAGGGAGGTGGGCCAATGTGACCCAAGAGGCTGGGGCTTCTTTTCTTGTGTCTAACATGAAGGCAGACAGTTGGCCCTTGTCACACAGCCTTTCCTGGGACTCAGGTCAGAGGGACTCACTCCTGAACATCCAGCCTCCAGTTCCCCAAAAGAGGCGCAATACAGATCGAGCACCCTTAACTGGATATTCAAAATACCCCAAATCTGAAGCTATTTTTGTGCACTGACATGTCTCCACAAGGGAGAAATCCCATACCTTACCTCATGTGATAAGCTACAGTCACCCTAAAATACCATATAAAATCACCCATAGGCTCTGTATGTCTATAAGGGGCAAAAGAAGCTCAAACAGATCTTGTGCTTAAATTTGGGTTCCGACTTTAATATATGTCATTATGCATAAGCATATGCAAATATTTCAAAAATTTTTTAAAAATCTGAAATTCCGAACACACATTTTGGGATAAGGACCACTCCATCTGTATCCAGGGTCGCAGCCTGGGATCTCATATATAGATATCCCGGGGTTCATTTCTGCTTGTCTACTCTTCCTTTAAACTCAAACTCAATCCTGCTTAACACATTCACCTCCTAGCCCACCCCATGTCAGTCATTAGCGCTCTCATTTCTGTCCATGGTGCTAACTACTTTCCGGGTCACCCAGACTAGATACCTCAGTACCATGCCTCTGTTCTCTGGTGGTCCCCAGAAAGGCCTCTCACTTCTCCAGTCTTTGTTCCATCCACCAGCACTTTTTTCTGTTCTCTACTATTGCTGTGACAATGCTAGTTCAAGCCCTACTGAAGAATCTCGTAACTGCTTGCAAAGCAATCTGATGGACTCCTCTTTAAGTACAGGCCAGTCCCTGTTTGAAAGCTTACCAGTGCTACCCACTGCTCACAGCAGACATAAACTCAAGAGCCCTACCACTGACTTAGGCCTCACCTCCACAGTCAATGGCGAGTATTCTGGCCTTGGAACCTTTGCTCATGTCTTGTTTCATTCCCATGATGGCCACCCTCTATTCAAATACTACCTGTTGTTCACTGTTAAGCCAAAGCTGTTCAAAGCATCTCCCATGGAAACCCTCGGTCCTCAGAAACTGATTCCTGTACAAATCTGACTTGAACTTCAGTTATGGTGAAATACACACACACACACACACACACACACACACACACACAAGCAAAAGCAAGCGTTTGGCACAGGGGTTAAGTTCCTGCTTAAGACACCACATCCCGATCAGAGACCTGGGCTTGAGTCCTAGTTTGGCTTCCAATTCCTGCTAATATGTACCCTGGGAGACAGAAGGGAGCTGGCTTGGAGCGGAGTAGCTGGGACCAGAACTGGCACCCATACAGAATGTTAGTGCTGCAGGCAGGAGATTAGCCACCGTGCTGGTCCTGATCTCCTAATTTTTAAAGTTTTATTTATTTATTTGAAAGGCAAAGTGATGGGGGAGGGGAGAGGGAGAAAGGTGAGAAAGAGAGATTTTCCACTGATCTACTGATTTACTTCCCAGCCCAGCCCCTTACCTCGCTTTGTTCCTTGTCTGCTTGCACTTCCTTCAGTTGCCCAAGCAGCTTCTCTTGGTCTCGAGTCAGGGCCTTCGCCGCATCTCTCACCCTGGGAGTCAGGGGACAACATGCATGACACTGGGGTCACCAGTGCTCCTGGCGGTCTTCCAGATCCAACCCTTGGCTTCGCTCTCGGACACTCCCCTCCCCCACCTCAAGATGAACCTGTTCTAAGCTGCCAAAACCAAGATTCCTGGTTCCGCAACATAATCTACAACACAATCTAGAAATAACTTTTCTGTTTTCTTTAAGTATCATTTGAAGGACGCTCGGGCTGATGGTTCTCTGCTTTCACTAAGGAGATTCAAATTCAGCCTTTTCTAGACAAGGAGCAGTTTTTACTGGTTATAAACTTTGGTCCAGACCAGAAGTTGGCAGACTTCTCCTGAGGAGGACCTGACGGTACGTATTTTAGGCTTTGCAGGCCCTGTGGTCTCCATGGCAACTTCTCAACTCTGTAATGTGGAAGCAGTCATAGATGGCATGTAAATGGCCAAGCCCAGTCTTCCAACACAGTTCCTTTAACAGCATGCAGATTTAAACCTTACAATTGTTCATGCGTCATACAGTATGATGCTTTTTAAAATCTATTCCTTATTAATCAAAACATGTAAACAGTACTCGTACGTGTGGGCTGCAGAGGCCAGATGTCAGCACACGGGCTGCATCTCACTGACTCCTGGTTTGGGCAGTCTCTGATGTTTCCTCAGTCTAGTCCCTGCATCTCTACGACCTGTCTTAGCACATAAACATCTAGACCGACACAAACTGTAAAGGCCTCCAAGGTCAACTTGCTTATTACTCTGGGCCTTGAACAGAAGGCCTCTTTCCTCTAGGGAGTTAAAAACAAATATTAAACCTCCCAATACTGAATGAAAGAGAGGTAACTGTGCCATATGGGCCCAGTGTTGTGAGTTGTGGCTCACTGGGTTAAGGTGCCACCTATGAAAGCAGTGTTCCAGCTCAGTGAGTACGAGTTCAAGTCCCAAACCCCAGCTGCTCTACTTCCCAGCCAGCTGCTTGCCAGTATGCGTGGGAAGGAAATGGAACAAGGCCCACACGCTTGGACTCTCGCTACCAGGGCGGGGCTTGTGGCTCCTGGTTTTGGTCTGACCCAACCTCGGTTGTTGTGGCATTGGGGAGTGGAAATAGTCTCTGTCTCTCCCTCTGACTCTTACAAATAAATAAAGAAATCTTTTAAAAAATAAACATGTCATTTGATGAATGTGAAAATCAGGAATGTTTATTCTGTGAAAACTTGAAGAACAGGCACGGCAGGTTGTCCATATGGTAGAAATAACTGTTTACTAGCGAAGAGAGGAATGTATTCCGTGTGGCCCTTGAGGTCTAGACTGGGACCCACTGTTAGTGGCAGGAGAACGGAGTTTGGCTCTACCTGAGAGCTGCAAAAGGCAGAGCTGTCTGGTATGGAAAGAGAATCTTGCTCTGCTTTTAAAATACTTATTTTATTTGAAAGGCAGATTTTTACAGAGAGGAGAGACACAAAGACAGGTCCTCACCTGCTAGTTCATTCCCTAGATGGCCACAATGGCCAGAGCTGAGCCAATCTAAAGCTAGGAGCCAGGAGCTTCTTCCCAGCATCCCACATGGGTGTAGGGTCCCAAGGACTTGAGCCATCCTCTGCTGCATTCCCAGGCCATAAGCAGGGAGCTGGATCGGAAGCAGCCAGTACATAAACCAGCACCCATATGAGAGGCCTATGTTTGCAGGCGGAGGATTAGCCTGATACGCCATGGCACCAGCCTCCAAAGGCTATATCGTATGGGTGATCTTTTATATTTCCTCTTATATGCCTTACATCCCTCCAAATGTGAGATTCCACGATTTACACCTTGTTTCAAGAGAGAGATTCCAGAACATTCCTGGGTGCCCAGTACTAACATTTCTTAGTAGGGGGATCAAAGTCTCATCATATTTTTCCTGTGTTAAAACTTGAAACCCACCCTCCTCCATCCGAATGGGCTGTCTTATCTGTTCTCTTCTTCCCATTCCTCCACCCCAGCTCCTGTTCAGCTTCAGTTACACAATAAATAGTAACTGTGGTTACTTCTGACGGTGAGGAGCACAGCGTGGCATTAGGAAAGATGGAGCAGAGCTGGCCAGATAAAGACAGCCCCAGGACCTCGGGACCCTGAGTGACAGACAGACAATGGGAGGCAGCGATGGTGGTAGGGGGAGATGAGGGGGAGGAACTTGGGAGTGGTGTCTGCTTGCCACAGGAAGCTGGAACATGGGGGTTGTAAGAAAGGAAGAGAAGGAGTGGTTGGGGAGGTCCCCTCACCTGTCCAGCTCCACCTCCTTGGTCAGCACTTTCTCACTGATGGTCTGGATGTCGTCCTCCAGCTCCAGGATGCGCGCCACGTGGTCGCCCTGTTGCCGGCTGAGCACATCCCTCTCCTCTGTGAGCTCTCCATGGGACCGCGTAAGGCCCTGGGATGAGTGCAGAGAGGGTGTAGCTCATGTCTCAGATGGAACAAAGGCTGAGAGGGGCAAACTCATGGTCCATCACTCGAGCCCCCTCCCTCCCAACTCCGTTCCTGGAGACACATACAGTGTCTACAGCTTTGAGACCAGAAGCATGTGATGGGCCCACTGCCATCTCCTTTCCCCCTTTTGCTGGGCTCCGAGTTTGTACCCTGGGTGTGCAGCCGGCTGCACCTGCCCCCCTGCCCTGTTCCCACCTTGTACTGCTCCAGCAGCTCTGCGTGCTCCTGTCTGGCTGTCGCCAATGCCGACTCGAGCTCCTGCACACGGCTCCTCAGCTCCGTCACCTGCCCCTCCAGGTGCAGCTTGCGCTGCATCAGGTCATTCCGTTCTTGTTGGCTCTCATCCAGCTGGTTCTACGGACCAGGGAGGAGGAGCAGAGGAGAAGGGGTATGATTAGGAGGCACCCGATGCTGATTTTCCAACCCAGTGGTTCTGTAGGAAGTTCTCTCAGCCCAGGCAAGAGTGGAGAGGCCTGGTACGAAGGCTGTCTGCAACATATCCGGACATGTCAGCTCATGCTTCACACAGGGCCTGGCCCTTTCCTCGCCCAGAAGCCACAAGGGCCCTGTCTTTGCATTAGTCTTTCTCCATGGCTAGGAAGGAGAAAGTTCCTAAGTTCCACCCTGTTTTTTTCCTACAGATACACCTGGGCTCAACTCTCTAGCCAGAGGACTTGGAACAAGTTACTTGCTCTCTATGCGCTTACCTATAAAGTGACCTCTTGGTCTTGGCTGTAAGGTTTCTGATTTTTAAAATATTACTGATTTGAGAGATACAGAATTCCTATCCGCTGGTTTACTCCCCAAATGTCTGTAATGGCCAGGACAGGAAGCAGGAATGGAACTCCATTTAGATCTCCCACATGAGTGGCAAAAACCCAGCTCCGGGCCCGGCATGGTGGCCTAGCAGCTAAAGTCTTCACCTTGAATGAGCCGGGATCCCATATGGCCACTGGTTCTAATCCCAGAAGCTCTACTTCCCATCCAGCTTCCTGTCTGTGGCCTGGGAAAGCAGTTGAGGACGGCTCAATGCTTTGGGATCCTGCACCTGTGTGGGAGACCTGGAGGAAGTTCCTGGCTCCTGGCTCCGGATCGGTGCAGCACTGGCCATTACGGTCACCTGTGGAGTGAATCATCGGATGGAAGATCTTCCTCTCTATCTCTCCTCCTCTCTTTATATCTGAGTTTGTAATAAAAATAAATAAATCTTAAAAAAAAAAAAAACCAGCTCCTGTAGTCACATTCATTGCCTTCCAGCGTCTGCATGAGCAGGAAGCTGGGGTTGGGGATGGCTCTGGCGCTGGGTACAGAACCCAGGTATTGTGAAGTGGGATTTAGGGTTTACTGCTAGACAAAATGCCTGTCCCAGTTATAAGGTTTAAGTGAGAAAAACTGGGCCTGGTGCAATGACTTAATTGGTTAATCCTTTCCCTGCAAATGCTGGGATCCCATATGGACACTGGTTCCAATTCCAGGTACTGGCCTGGGAAAGCAGTGGAGGATGGCACAAAGCTTTGGGATCCTGTACTCATGCAGGAGACCAGGAAGAAGCTCCTGGCTCCTGACTGACTCAGCTTTGGTTGCTGTGGCCATATGGGGAGTGAACCAGTAGATGCAAGATCTTTCTGTCTCTCTTTACTGTAAATCTGCCTTTTCAATTATATATAATATAATATATATTATATATAATACATAATATATGCAGATATATTACATACAATGAGAAATATATACATACACATTTTATGTATCTGTCTATATAATAACACTATATGTGTATATAACATAATTATAATACATAATATATACACACATATTATATTATATACACAATATATATGTATATATTCTATATAACAAGCGAGAAAAACTACTGTGAATACAGAATACAATGTGGAGGCCCCACCTCTGATTTATGTGATATTAAAACATTTTCCTATACTCGCGTTAGCTCCACCTACTTTTTAGACTTGGAGTTTCAGAGTGCAGTTTCTGGGGGTCACAGAAAAATTCCTTACTCTCACCCTCTTTTCCTTCCTCAGGCCTATCTTCCCGCCCCGGCAATGAACTTCCTCCTCACATGGCCCTGTCCTGGCCCCGAACTCCCTTTAGGATGTCTTCCTTGCTAGCATGTGCCTCCATTCCCTAATTCTTCTTTACATGGTCCAATATAAAGATAATACAAACCACATGTACAATTTTACACTTTCTAGTTCTGACTTCAAAAATAAACAAGGTGCGGAATTGATGTTAATATTTCCTCAAATCCACTCTACCCAACAGAGAGACTCTAACATGTAAGCAATATCAAAATTACTGAGACCTTTCACATTATTTCTAAAAAAGTGCCAAGTTGTCAAACCCCATATAGCTTCCCTTAATTTGGACTAATCACATCTGGAGTGCCACGAGCCATGCATGCGTTGTGCCTCTAGTGGCAGTTGGCACTGTTGGGGGCCTGGCCTCTCTGCCCGCTGTCACTTCTCACTTGTCTTATAGGCAGTTTTCATCCTGTCCTCCCGACTGTCCACCCTGGCAGCCTAGGGCAGGAGGTAGTGCTTGGAGAAGGCAGGCCAGAAAGTTCTGGAACCTTCAGTTACAACCAGCCTGTGAGTGGTGTGCTTTCCTACCCTCACATGCCGTCTGGGAGGTCTTCTGTTGAGGCTGAGCTGAGGGAAGGGGTAAGCAGGAAGAGAAGAAGAAGCCCCCCCAGCCCCTCTCTCTCCCAGCGGCAACCTGGCTGCTTTTGTCTCACCTGCAGGACAGTGGCCTTGGGGACAACCAGCAGGATATCAGAGCCACCGTCAGCCTCCTCCAGGGTCACCAGCTCATCCATGGGCCTTGGCTCTCGGAACTGGAAAGGGGGGCTCTGCCCGCATACTCGGCCCTGGCGGTTCACATAGCGGAACTGGTAGAGCTGGGCTCCTGGTTTGGGCAGGTAGCTGGCTGTGGAGAAGAAGATGGATCCAGGAGTCCAGGGTGATCCCAGACCCTTGAGTGCTCAGCAGGTCCCTCCTGTTCCTGGCCACAGCTCCTTGCTCCCTGTTCTCCATTTTGTTTCTTTCCTTTCTACTTCCTGTGAACTATTTTTATTTCTGTTCCTTGGAGGCGGTCCTCTCCCTCATCTAGTTAGTACTTTTCCCCCTCTCTTTCCTCCCAATCCTAGCAATGTCCCAGACACTTGCTAACAGCTTTTGAAAACGTCATATTGTCCCTAGAAGCCATCCCTCTTTTCCTGTTGACAGGCACAGAGGTTAAGTTATAGCCTAAGGTTAGACAGCTTGGACAGAAAAGTAGGTCTTGGGCCTGGTGCAATAGCTCAATTGGCTAATCCTCCCCTTGCAAGAGCTAGAATCCCATATGGATGCTAGTTCATGCCCTGCTGCTCCACTTCCCATCCACCTTCCTGTCTAGGAAAGCAGTGGAGCATGGCCCAAAGTCTTGGGACCCTGCAATGGCATGGCAGACCTGGAAGAAGCTCCTGGCTTCAGAGCAGCTCAGCTCCAGCCATTGCAACCACTTGGGGAGTGAATCAGTGGATGGAAGATCTTTCTGTCTGTCTCTGCTTCTCTCTGGAAATCTACCTTTCCAGTAAAAATAAAAGAATCAAAAAGAAAAGTCTTACCTAGTCCATCCTCTTTTCAATACATGATACTACCCTCTCTTTTCCCTACCTTCTAGTTATACAATAGGTAAGAGGCAGGACCAGGCATCCTCTAAAGTTCCTTCTACTTTAAGTCCACGATAATCCCATGATTCCATATCTGTTGGCTGTATTCTCATAGTGGTCATCTGTATTGATTTTGCCTTATCCTCTGTGCTGCCTATGTTTCTGTGTCAATGCATTACCCTTATTCAAACTTTGATTTCCTTAGCTTCCCCCCTCCCACTTGTCCATCTCCCCTGTACCTTGGAACTGGACACTGGCGTGGATAGGAGAACCACTAGCTGGATTCTCAGGCACCGATGACCACACGAACGTGTGGTAATCCCGGACGCATGCAGCCTCCACCTGTTAAAGGATGGGAGAGATGCACGGTGCAGCCACGGGTGGTAGAAGGGACAGAGGGACTGAACGAGGGGAACAGAATGCTGTTACAATGCCAGACACTGATGAGTCATGTAAGAGCAGGTTAAGATGGAGAGACAGGAGCTCTGCTTCTCCAAATGGCATCTTTCTCCCTTTTCCTGTCTCAACCAAGAAACCAGGCATTCCCCATATTTGAACCAACCCATGACCCACAATCCAGAGCCAGAGGGGCTCCAGGGATACCTTGAAGATGCCAATCCAGTCACTGGCACTGGGTATGGTGCCTGGAGGAAGGGTGTAGTGACATTCCACCTTGGTGTTGGGGATGTAGGTCCGGGCGACATTCAGGAAGTTGACACCACCCCGGGAGGGAGCACGGCTGAGGGAGGACTCCTGCATCCCGCCCTGGAGATCTCTGCTCTGCTAGGAGAGAAGGGAATGATTTCACATCTCTGCCCGCCCACTCACAGTCCCCGCCACCCGCCTGCCTGGAGATGAACGAGTGCCCCATTCCCAGCTCTGGAGGGGTGTAAGATTTTTGAAAGGCTTCACTCTTAGTCTCCAGGACACAGGGCTGGCCTTCCGGATCAATCCCCACTGTCCATGCTGTTCCCTCTCGGGTTCATGGATTCCCTCCTAGGGTTCAGCTGCATTCGACACTCCCACGGTACCCTTCACCATGTCTCTGGGCTCTGCCCCTTTTGCAGTTCCTCCTCTCCACCTCCAAACCACCTTGGACATTCCAGCCTCTGCTCCCCTTCCCATGGCCCACTCCACCTGGCTCTTGAATTCAAAGTAAGAGGGGTGGTTCTCTGGTGCTAGGCAGGCTCTTTGCCAACTCCTGACTTGTGACAATTAGGAATGAACTGGTACACCTCAGAGCTGTGAGAAAATTCAGAAAGCACTGGTTGAGTCCTCAAAGTTGGAATACTCCTGGGGTGGGATGGGGCGGGGGATGGAGGAGGGTGGTAGTATAAATCTCAGGCCCCTGGGCTCTCAGGCTGACATGTCTACTGCCTTGCGATCTAGCCAAGCAGCAAGCTTCTGCTCTCTTCTAAGAGCCAAATGGAAAGGGAGGGTGCAAGGAAAGACAGGTTTTGTTCCTCAACTTCATTATTCCAGGGTGACAAGAATTCTGGAGGCGGTAGCTTCAAGGGTGGGGTGGAAGACTCGGCAGGAACGTGGCGGTGTGGAGAAAAGGAATGTGGGGGCCGGGACACCCCACCCCTGGCTGGGGACACACAGGCACGTGGGACCTGAGAGGCCCCATGAAGGGGAAATTTATATTTAACATGCTGAGGAAAGGGAGACAGCATTAAAGAAGCAGCTAACATGGTTCTCTCCAGAGGCTGCTTGGTGTAGAGCTAGGAACCCAGTGGTTCAACTGCATGTTGGCCCAGCTCTAGCATTTCCCCTGCAAGCAACCCATGGGACCTGACTCCTTCCATCTGCTGGGACTGATAGGATGTCGGTAGAGGAAGGGTTGTTCTCAGTTAGCTGGGGAGAGTTCACTGGAAAATATGGCATGGACCGAAGACCGAAAAGAAAAGCCAGCAAGAGAAGTCTTTAGCCCCGGGGCCATGGGACTGCCTGGTTCTCATTTCTCCTGTCCACCAGCCCGCTTCCTAGGTCAGCCGGGCTGAGGTGTCCAATCAGCCAGTGCCACTCGTCAGATGCACACCCCCAAACACCACCAACCCACACCGGGCTCAAGTCAGCAACTTGAAAAGAACACAAAGGGAGCAAACTCTCCCTCCAAAACACACACTGACTTGAAAATCAGTGAGTTCTTTCAATTTTTATCTCTGGGGGAACCTCCACATTTTAAAAAGTGGCGTGTTTTTTTTTTTTTTTTCTCTTTCAAATACCATCCCGGTTTTCTAAGGCAGAGAGCGGATTGCCCCCAAAGATCTAAGCCTGAGGAACCCCCAAATTCCATAGAAAGAAAATCCCCTAATAGCTACAAGACTTTATCCATGCCGGAAAACACCGCAAGTGTAGACGCAAACAGCCCGATCCAGACGCTCCTGTGGTGGGGGCCAGGGGTTCCTTGCTCCCCAAGTTTCTGTGAGACTCTAGAGCTCCTTGGCATTCTAAAACTGAGAAGTTACTCCTCCCTAGGGGGCATTCAGCCAAGCACAGGCCTTCGGATTTCCGGGGTGGGGGAGAAGGACCAAGTTGTGTCGGTGAGAGGAAAAGCAGATTTCACCCGCCCCCCCCCCCCCAATCCCCACAGGAGGCTTTTACGGAGAAAGACTGAGGACTCTGAGGGGCACTCACCCCCCACCCCAACCCACCCCGCCTGGCTCTCGGCCCTCTTCAATCAAGAGCTCCCCTCAAACAGTGCGTGTGGGGGGTCGCTACCCCAGCACGGAAAGTGTTAAAGCCGAGCCACCCCTGCACCCCCCCCCAACCCCCGCCCGCCTTCCACAGTTCTCAGATTGTCGTGTCACAGTCTGGAAAGTGGGGCGACTCCTCGTTCCCCGGAAGATCGGCCCCGTCAGTTTAGGCCAAGTTTCTTACCCCACAGACGGAATCAGCTGTTCCCCTCACCTTTCACCAACAACAAAAACAGCCCTCGCACTCCAGGAGGGGAGGGAGCGGGCCAACGCGAGGACTTCTGGGTTTGTGGTTCTTTCACGCGCTCCGCCGCGGAGCAGGATGCGGGCTAGACTACATGTCCCAGGACGCCTCGCGATCGGGGGCGTGGCCGAGGGCGGTCGAGGCCGCGGCCTCCCCGCGGCGTCCTGGGAAATGTAGTTCCTGATTCCCTGACAGCAGGCGGGAGTGGCCACCAAAGGACTTCAGGGCCCAGGATCCCTCAGGAGGGAGCCGGCTGCCTAAGGGGGGCTGCGGAATTGTAACGTGCGTTGTTGTTGCGGGGGTCAAGGTGGGGGCTGGTTGGCGGACCTAACGCCTTCTGCATAACGATTGGCAAGGAGGCCGGACGCTTGCCACCGCTGTCGCCTTCACTTTTCACAGCCACCTGTGACATGATTCTTCCAGCCGTATCCATAACTTTACAGACCGAGACACCAAAGCAACCAGTCAAAAGTGTCATAAACCAGGAAAAGGGTAAAATATCACCCGGCCCCGCTGTGCTGTGCTGTTGACACCGCAGCTAAACCACCCTGGGCGAGTGGGAGACATCCCCGCTGGGGAAGCCGTTCACAACTTGAGGGTTTCAGTGCCAAGGGGCCTGAAAACGCCCACCCCTACACAGGAGACTGAGGACGAGGATTCGCCGCCTGAGGCTGGGAGCGATGGACAAGGAGCTGGGCTTTGAGAGGGAAGCCTGTCACACTGACAAACAAGCCACTTACCAAGGCCCTGTTGGCCCAAGCCTTTTAAATGGCTTCAATTAATTAGGGTAACAATGCACGATGTTGCTCCGGGTTTTATTTAGCAGAGGTGGAAGATTCACGCTCCTCCCACAGGGCAAGTCACTTTAAAGACTTGTGAGTCGGCTGCCTCCTCCCACCCCTCCATCCTTCCAGCCTGCGACCTTCCTTTCGAAGCCTCTGTGTGTGTCTCAAGTGTGACACCCTTTTCTTAGCATCGCGTTCCTGCTTTAATTCTCTGCTGTTCTAGGTTAGGGGCCTCTGCCATTCCCTCCAAGGTTTTCTTTTTTTTGTTGTTTTTCTTTTCTTCCTTATTACTTTCCTTTTGCAATTGAATGGGGTGTCTGCTGTCTGCTTGGGGCAGCCTTTTTATCTAAAGATCTCCAAGCACGTAATAAGTTACTGGGCTGCTACATAAACCTGAAGGTGACATGTCTGTATCATTAGTCAGGATTTATGAGTTAGAGAACCAGCTGCTGCATGAGGAGCTGGCTCAAGGTCCTGGGGTAGGTCAAGAGTGAAGCTCATTCAAGGACCCGGATGCTAAGTGCTTTTTGCGTTTTGTCTTCCACCAGGAAAAAAGGCTCATAAAACCCAGCTTGGTCTCGGAGCTAAAAATGACAGCTTCTATTTTCTGACTGCTGACGATGTGCTTAGATCATGCTGAGAATTTTTCCATGTAACACAAAGCCTTCTGCAACTGGCCCTATTGTTATTAAACCCATTTTCCAATGTGATGAGCCGGAGGTACAGACAGATAGGTGACTTGCCTGGGCTTCGCCAGCTAGTAAGTGGTAGAATCAGGACTCAAACACAGGAAGTCAGTTCACCCTATCTCGCCCAGGGAAAATCTGATAGCAAGTTCCGACTCTTACTGTTCTAAGGTGGAATGCTGCTCTGTTCATCAGCTAGTTGGGACAAATGCTCATTGGGAACCTGTGTGTTCAGTGCAAGGTGAAAGGTAACATGGAACATATTTGTTCAATAATTAGGTGTCAGGGACACCTAGGAATTCAATAACTTATATTGCAAGAATGATGAGGTGGGTGTGTGGTGTAGTAGGTGAAGCCTCCACCTGCCATGGTGGCATGCCATATGGGCACTGGTTCGAGTCCCAGCTGTTCTGATCCAGCTCCCTACTGATGTGCCGGAGAAAGCAGTGGAAGAGAGCCCAGGGAGTTGGGTGCCTGCATCCACGTGGGAGACCTGAAAGAAGCTCCCGGTTCCTAGCTTTCAACCATACCAGCTCCAGCCAATGTGCCCATTTAGGGTGTGACCCAGCAGACAGAAGATCTTTCTGTGTGTCTCTACTTCTCTCTGTAAATCTGCCTTTCAAATAAAAATAAATTAAAAAAAAAAAAGAGGGGCCCAGCGCGATAGTGTAGTAGTTAAAGTCCTTGCCTTGCATACGCCTGGATCACATATGGGCGCTGGTTCTAATCCCAGCAGCCCCACTTTTCGTCCTGCTCCCTGCTTGTGGCCTGGGAAAGCAGTCGAGGATGGCCCAAAGCTTTGGGACCCTGCACCCGCGTGGGAGACCTGGAAGAGCTCCTGGCTCCTGGCCTCAGATTGGCTCAGCTCCGGCCATTGTGGCCGCTTGGGGAGTGAACCACCAGACGGAAGACCTTCTTCTCTGTCTCTCCTCCTCTCTGTATATCTGCCTTTCCAATAAAAATAAATAAATCTTTAAAAAAAAATAGAAGAAAGAATGTAGGGGCAGGCACCATGGTGTAGCAGGTTAAGTGCCACTTCTAGTCCCAACTGCTGTATTTCTGATCCAGCTCCCTGTTAATGGCCTAGGAAAGCAACAGGAGACGATTCCAGTGCTTGGGCCCCTGCGCCCATGTAAGAAACCCAGAAGAGGTTTCTGGCTCCCTGGCCCAACTCTGACTATTGCAGCCATTTGGGGAGTAAACAAGCAGATAGAAGACTCTCCCATACCTCTTCTCCTTGTCTATGTATAATTCTGCATTCCAAATAAAAAAACACATGCCTAAGTCTTTAAAAAACAGTATGAGTATAAAATATAGATACTTGAAGGATGTGTTGAACTTGGAGGGTCTGGCAGGAAGGGGACGGAGAAGAGCAAGCTTATTCTAAGGGGAAAACAAAGAATTCATAGGTTGGGAATGAGTAATACTAGGAGCCTAGAGTCACCTAGAATTAGCTCATCAATTCAACTTGTTTGCTTCAATCAGATGATTGATTAGTCATGGCGGCCAGAAATGTGTTGGAAAGGACTCTGAGGAGTGTGCTGCAATCAATTAGTAATGTCTGCCATGGACACTTGGTGCAAGATGGCACAGTGGTAGACTAACTCCTTGTTTGAAGCCATTTCCCTGCTCCTTCCTGACCTGTTGCCATGCAACTTGTGGAGCATGTGACTCCTTGACCTTAGAGTGTGCATTTGGGCTTATGGGATGGGAGCAGAGATGCTCATATTGTGTCTGAGTCTGTACGTTTCCACATTCTTCTTTGCTCCTTGGATATATGCATGCCACATGATGGTTGGTGCTTCACCTAGGTTCTAAATCGAGAAGACACCTAGAGCAGAGCTGTAAATTGATGATCAGTCTGCACACGCACAAACCAGAGAGGAGCCCTTGTCCTAGTCATTGAGATTTGGGGGCGTGTTGTTATAGCAGCAAAGCTAATAGCCATGGTTGCATAATTTATTTTTAAAATATTTATTTGAAAAGTAGAGCTACAAAGAGAGGGATAGGGAGAGACAGAGAGAGAGAGATTTGCCTATCCACTGGTTCACTCCCTGAATGGCCACAATGGCCAGAGCTGAGCCAGTCCCAAGCCAGGAACCAGGACCTTCTTCCAGGTTTCCTACATGGGTGCAGGAGCCCAAGCACTTGGGCCCCATCTTCCACTGTTTCTCCAGGCACAGTAGCAGGGAGCAGGATTGGACACGGAGTAGCTAGGACTTTAATTGATGCCCATATGAGATACTGGCAACACAGGCCTCCTATGCCATAGCACTGCCCCCTGGATATTTTTTTAAAAGATTTACTTTATTTTTATTGCAAAGTCAGATATACAGAGAGGAGAAGAGACAAAGAGGAAGATCTTCCATCCGATGATTCACTCCCCAAATGACCACAAAGGCTGGCGCTGCACCAATCCAAAGCTGGGAGCCTGGAACCTCCTCCAGGTCTCCCATGTGGGTGCAGGATCCCAAAGCTTTGGGCTGTCTTCAACTGCTTTCCCAGGCCACAAGCAGGGAGCAGGACTGAAAGTGGGGCTGCTGGGATTAGAACTGGCAGCCATATGTGATCCCGGCACGTTCAAGGCGAGGACTTCAGTTGTTAGGCCACTGTGATGGCCCTGGATAATTTTTAAATAATTTATTTATTTGGGGACCTGCATCCTGGCATAGTAAGTTAAGTGGCCTACGATGCTGGCATCCCATATGGGCGTTAGTTCATATCCTGGCTGTGCCACCTCTGATTTTAATTCCTGCTAATGTGCCTGGGAAAGCAGCAGAAGATGGCTCAAGTGCTTGGATTTTTACATCCACATGGGAGACCCAGACAAAGCTCTTGGCTCCTGCTTCAACCTGGCTCAACCCTGGCCCTTGTGGTCATTGAGTAGGTGAACCAGCAAATGAAAATACACACTCTCTTCCCATATCTGTTACTCTTTCAAATAAATAATTTTATTTATTTTAAAAAAGATTCATTTATTTGAATGACAGATTTAACAAAGAGAGAAGAAGAGACAGACGAAGGACTTCCATCCACTAGTTCACTCCCTAAAGGGATATAAGCTGAGCTGATTCGTAGCTGGGAGTGAGGAGTTTTCTCCCAGTCTCCCATGGAGGTGCAGAGTATAAAGAACTGGACCATCCTCCTTTGCCTTCTCAGGCCATAAGCAGGGAGATAGATCAGAAGTGGAGCAACCAGAACATGAACCAGTGCCTATATGGGGTGCTTGCGCCACAAGGCAGGGGATTAGCCAATTGCAAAACTGCACCAGCCCCTAACATTGATTTATTTTTAAAAATCTCAGCACTTGCAAGATAAGGATTGAGCCACTGAGCTATTGTGTCAGACCCTGAAATGATTTATACATTTGAAAGTCACAGTGATAGAGACAGAGGGGGAAGGATGGAGAAAGAGAGAGAGAAAAAGCTCTTATTGGCTGTTCCAGTCCTCAAATGCCCACAGTAACTCGGGCTTGGCTGGGGCTGCAGCCAAGAGCAGGCAGTGTAATCTAGTTTTTGCATTGGGGTGTAGGAACCCAATT